AACTGATGAGATTTTCTTAAAGGTGAATGATGTTCTGAGTTTGATCAAGGAGGCTGGATATGTTCCTGACATGAAATGTTCTCTTCATGACATCAATGAAGAGAGTAGGCTGCAGAACCTTGCTTACCATAGTGAGAAGTTGGCTGTCGCGTTTGGGCTTCTTTATTTGCCGAAAGGAGCAGCGATTAGGGTATACAAGAACCTAAGGGTTTGTGGGGATTGCCATACTGCAATGAAGTTTATTTCTAAGGTGTTCCAACGCCATATCATTCTCCGAGACTCCAATTATTTTCACCATTTTAGATTAGGTACGTGTTCTTGTAGAGATTATTGGTAGGCTTTAGCAAGTTGAATTGTTTTTGTGTCTAAATACACCTAGAAAAGAAAAGAAAAATTACAATGTTGTGTCCACTGTCTCTTTGAGTTTGGCAAACGCCTTGTACAGTTAGCTAGGTGGGGAAACTATAGCCATCGTAAAAAGACGTACAAAGGTTTGATATTTTGTAAGATTATATTTGTTCTTTTGGAGTTGGACCAAATAATATAAAATTATTTTCATGTGTTCTCATTTTGTTTTTCTTATTGACAAAGAACCTCAATTTGCACATCATATTCATTATTCGACCCAGATGAATCTATCAACATTTTCTTATTTTCTTTGGCATATCAATAGTACTCGTATTTTTTTTACTCCGTACATAATTTCTAAATATGTGAGCCTTACTAAAGATGACTACCTGAAAATTTAAAAATTAAATAATAATTTTCTGTAATATTACTAAAATGATTCTAATGGATATTAATAATACTACTTTAAAAAACGGACTTCACATGTTGATTCATCTTAGATTTTTCAGGAAGATTAGACAAGTATATTACTCAGTAAATTACATAAAGAAAACCAAACAAAAAAAATTGATTCGGAAGAATAACTTCCCGTATAAGCAGCGATTGAATGTGGATGCTGCCTTCAAAAATGGCGAATGCGCTGGAGGTGCTATTCTTAGAAATCAAGATGGGTCTTTTATAGCAGCAGCTTACTTCATGATAAAAGCGAAATCTGTTCTTCAAGCAGAAATGATTGCAGCAGTTAAAGCTTTGGAATGGTGCAAAATCATGAATATTTAAAGACATTCAACTTGAATCTGATTCTGAATCTCTTATTAAAGGAAAGAACAAATTTTTAAAGATCCCTCATCTTGATACCTGGATTAATGATCTTTCAAGATTATGTGACTCCCAAGATGTTAAGACCCGACATATTTACAGAGAAATTAATATGGCTGCTCACGTTCTGGCACAAGAGGGAATGAGGAAGAAGGTCGACAGAACTTTTCTGAATGGGAATGAACTTCCTAACTTGACGATTCAGATGCTTAAGCAGGATGAGGAAGGAACTTTCTATTTTCGTCACTAGACATTCTTACTTTCCTCTCCCTTTCTTATTCTGTTTTTTCTTTACCTTTTGTTTCTTTATTGTATTTTTGTTTGGGTAAGGTATGGACGTATGGTCCTCCCAAACTTTTTTCTTTTCTTTTACTTTTCAGCATTTCATGTTTTTAAGAAGGTATGCCTTCTTTGATGAGGTATTGGTCTAGTTCCCCTCATCTTTGTACATCTCTTAATAAAATTCGGTACATGTTCACCGACATTTACCCCACCTTCGGGTGGTTTGCCCACCGGGATAAAAAAAAATACTATAATATGGCTGAAAGAGTACGAAAGCGAAAAAGTAGAAAACATAGAAAATCTGAGAAGGAAACGTGGAAAAGGTACCGTGATTTAGGGTAATAGTTAATTGAAGCAGTAAGAATGCGGGTATGTGACATACCGCAAGTGACACTAATGACACCGCAAGTGACATACCGCCACTGTTAATGACACCGTCCCAATAAAAGATTGAAGAAATTTGATACTCCTATTAAAGTTTTGAAGTTATAGTCACTTTTTATAAAAATAAATACTAATCATATTTTTGTCTATCACAATTCATAATAGTGATGGACCCGGGCCGGGTCGGGCCTAGGCCTGATAGGCTTTTAGGGTTTAAGGTGTAGGCCCGGAACCGGCCCGGGTATCCATCGGGTCCGGTCCGGGTCCGGTTCAGGCCGGGCCCGGTTATATATATATGGTTATATACATAGAGAGAGAGAGAGAGAATTGTTCAGGTCCAGCCAGGCCGGACCACTCCCCTGTCCGGCCACCTCAATTTGAGGTGGTTCTCGGTGGTATTTTTTGCCCAAATTGTTTGTGTATGTTCCTCATCAAGTCTAGTTCATTCATACCAAACTTGAGCAAAAAATTCAATCGGGAAGGTCATCAAATGATTTTTGCAAGTTCACTGCGTTTTATATGTATATTCCGGACCAGTTAACTTGCAAAAATCATTTGACGACCTTCCCGATTGAATTTTTTGCTCAAATTTGGTATGGATGAACTAGACTTGATGAGAAACATACACAAAAAATTTGGGCAAAAAATACCACCACGAACCACCTGAAATTGAGGTGGCCGGACGAGCCTCCTGTCCAGCCTGGCTGGACAGGAAAAGGACTCTCTCTCTCTCTCTCTCTCTCTCTCTCTCTATATATATATATATATATATATATATAGGAAAAAGATCAGGTCCGAACGTTCGGACAGGACCCTCTGTCCGAACATCCTCGTTTGGGGTCCTTCCCGGTGGAATTTTTTTATGAAAATTTTTGAGCATGTTCCTCATCAAGTCTAGTTTGTCCATACCAAATTTCAGTTCAAAATTCTATCGGGAAGGCATTCAAATCATTTTTTGAAGTTGACTGCGTTTTTATATGTATATTTTGACGCAGTCAACTTCAAAAAATGATTTGAATGCCTTCCCGATCGAATTTTGAGCTGAAATTTGGTATGGACAAACTAGACTTAATGAGGAACATGCTCAAAAAATTTCATCAAAAAATTTCACCAGGAAGTGGCCCAAACGTCCATGTTCGGACGGTGCTCGGACGGGGAATGTTCGGACCTGAACATCTCTCTCTCTCTCTCTCTCTATATATATATTTGTGTTCCTAACCACCCCCACCCCCCAAACACCCAGCCCAACCCGGGGGGAACTAAAAAAATTGGGGAAAAAAAATTGGTCCGAACCGGGCTTGGCCGGGCCGGGTCACCTTTTCTTCAGCCCGCCCCGCTAAACCCTACGGTCCGGGTCAAAAGACCGGTTTGGGACCCGAAGCACCGGGCCGGGCCCAGACAGTAGCGGGCCGGGCTGGTTCCCGGGCCAGGTGGCCCGAACCGGGTCCATCACTAATTCATAAATAATACTCGTACTACCTAATTGGATTCTTGTTGCAGTAACAATCAGGGGCGGATCTACATAGTAAAGAGGGGGCAACTGCCCCCAATAAAGTCCTATTAATGCCCCTTAATTCATTAAGAAAAAATATTAATCCACTCATTTGCCCCCAATTGAAAAATATTAATCTCTTCAATGTGTAAAGTAAAATCTTTTTGAACTTTTCAGTTTAGGCTAATACGGAAGAGAAGTAATAGCAATTAAAAGATTTAATCCCCAAATATAGAAGAATTAGGTTGCAGATTAGTATGAGAAGTGAGAACATCAAGATGACTAATGAATAGCTAAATTCGAGAATAACAAATGCAGAGTAGATCTTTCAAAATAACAAAAAAACAAATGCGGAGTAGATACCGACTGTGATGAGGTCTTGTTCCTACTTGATACTTCGTATAGTTTATCCTTAATAAAATAAATAAATATTATGACTCATTCTAATTTATAAAAATTAATGTTAATACAGTAGCTAGTAAGCTAGTAGGTTAAAATTAAGTAACTAACGATATAAAATTTTAAATTAACTATCGAATTATGTAAATAGATCTTTTATCCAAATGTAAATTTAATTACATAATAATGTAATGAACTCCTTTAGGCTAAATACCGTTAAGATAGTAGTAAAATCAGAACTACATGCTTTTGGTGCTAGTTGTTTTTTAGAAATAACACAAGATTTGAGATTTATTAATAATGTATAAGGATGTTTGACTTGGATTGAAATTTGTTTGTTTGTTTTGGTTTGATCTGTTTATGTCTGGTCTGGTCTGGTAAATGTTTGATCTTTGTGTATTTTATAACTACGCAAGTCTGGTCTGGCTTGGTATGAATTGGCTAGTCAGTTTAAGTCTGGTATGGTCTGATCTAGGACTGAAAACAGTTCAAGTAAAAACACTTTTAGTTATAAAAAGCCACAAACTTTAGGTGTACATTTTTTTATTAGATTTAATGGATAGTTGTTTTGAATAAAACACCCTTATATTTTGGCACCAGTTAGTGCAAATTAAAGTACAGATATATCCAGTAGTATTTGAATGCCCTAAGAAGTTAATGTAGATGACTAATTTAAGCAATAGAAACAATTTTTGATTAGTTTTTGAGTTACAATATAGTTTCTTTCATAGAAAGAGTTTTATTCAAGGGTCACTACTCACAAATGAAATTGTAATAAATTACTTTCAAAAGATAAAAACTCAAGAAAAGTTGATCGTTTTTTTAATTGTAATACGCTTTATTTAGTTTTAAACAAATTGTCGTATACTTTATAACCATTTTTTGTTTGATCTAATATGCTTTATTAATGTATTTTCATGAACATGTTTTGTGTATTAATTATTATTATTCTGCCCCCAATAGTTTTTATTCCTGGATCTGCCACTGGTAACAATGCGTTAATAATTGCAGTATATTGTTACTGCAATCCTTGAAAAAAAACCGTATAAAATTCAATATAAAACTGGTTGGATACTTAATTCTTTTACCTGTGTCATTCTATAACGATACATACAATAATGATAAAGCATAAGACAACTTTTCATGCCTCGACTTGGTAGAGTTTTTTCAAGGTATATTCCAGACAAGGTTAGACATGCTGCCTTACCTTGTCTCGTGGCTTTTAGAACAAAAGTTGTTTCCAATTATTACCTTACCATGTGTTAGAGATTTTCTTGGACTTTGAAAAATATTTTATAAACTTTGAAAAATGTTGGAAATATTCAACATGAGATTCCATACAAATGAACACAAAACATTTCTCAATTAACAGCCAAGGCAATCATGATAGTTGAATATGTATGCACTACACAAACATTAATTGGCAACCAACTAGCCAAACAAGCCTTCCATTGAAAATCACAATGGCAAAATGTTCTGTATACTGTAATGGAAACCTAACCTCACATATTTTTTTACTTCTATATTACAAAGGCTAGACAAAGATCAGTCTCTCAATGTATGGATTTTCTCGCGTGCTCGGGAATCAGCCGGTTTTGCAGTTCGGGAGACGCACCAGCCAGCTCTGCATGCAAAAATGTGCGTAGCGTAGTAAGAAACATATCAGACCAAACAAGGGATAACTACAAACTGATGAGAACATCATATCACTCACCTGGAGGGGTAAAGTTGAATAGGGGAGGTAAAGGTTTTCCGTTTGGTAAGGACACGTTCGGCTCCCTAAGAGCATCAAAGAACGGGTGCGCACACGCCTCCAGCTGAAAAGAAGAAACAAATAAACAAACTTCAGAAACATGCCCTTGACAACTTTCAAAAGATAGAGCATTTGAGCTGCAGAAGGTGGTAATGAGTAGTGCTTGTTTGGTAATTGTTTTTTTAGCAGAAAAAGGCTGCTGAATTTTCTGAAGGGATAAGCTTCAGAATTATCCATTTCATCCAAATACGTAATTGAAAAGCTTCTTATTTTTGCTTGTAAGCAAATTAGAAGAATAAGACAGAGTTGGCAGCCAAACGAGGCCATAGTTTTGCTTACAGCAGTACACCGCAGACTTGGTGAGTATTGGAGCAGTATTGAGATCAGATCCACTGCTTCAGGAGGCATTCTTTTATGAAATACCTACAAAGCACGTCATTTTATATTTTAGATCAAAATATTAAAAAGAAGTTTTTTTAATGAAAAAAATCCACCATAGATTTCTTAACAAACCTTGTACAAGGGGTGAGCTTTGATATGAGGAAACTTAAACTCTGTATAGTTTGGATTCATCAGCTTAATCTCCTCCCTAGTGGGTGTCCCTAAAATCTAATACACAAAACAAAGTAGAAGAAGAAAAAACTCATCAGCAAAAATTCATGTTACAGACTATCACATAACCCACTGAGAAATTTGATAACAAACCTTAATAATTTCAACTAACTGATCGATACTGCTGTCCCCCGGAAATAGAGGCTGCATAGTGAAATAGTAACTTCAATATTAAAAATGTCTGCTGTAGTGAATTCAAAATAATATACGATTTAATACGGAGTAATAATTAATTACCCGCCCAAGAAGTAGTTCAGCCATAACACAACCAACAGACCACAAATCAATTGCAGTTGTATACTCTGTGGCCCCAAAAATCAGTTCTGGAGCTCTATAGTAACGAGAACATATGTATGATATATTTGGCTCACCGCGGACCTAAAGTGGAGAAAAATAGAAAAATAGGAATTGATATCTCCCGAATGAGTAAATTATAGTGAATGAATGAGCAAAATATATAGTGAACAATGGACCATTTCTAGGAAATATCACATACCAATTTCTTTGCACTTCCAAAATCACAAAGTTTTATTTGATGACTATGGGGATTAATCTGCAAGAGACAAAACCCTCAGCCTTATTGTTTGATAAAAAAACGACCTTCGGGTAAACAAAAAACACTCACCAATATATTCTGTGGTTTAATATCACGGTGACACACACCAACCACACTGTGTATATAATTTAGCGCTCGACAAATCTGCAAGAGAGAAGAAGTGTGAAGATTACTTTGGGATTGACCAAAAGAGGAAGCATGAAGATCAAGAGGTAATGGAGAGAGTTGTACAATAGCAGCTAAAGAGGATGACCAAACATCACCTGGTATGTATACAGTTGGACATATATGATGGGCATAGGCTGATTAGCTTTGCTATAGTGCCTAGAAACTCGGTAGATAGTTTCAGGCACATACTCGAGCACCAGGTTGAGGTACGTCTCTTTCTTCTCAGTGGTTGAATAAAAGAAATGCTTGAGCTGAACAACATTAGGATGATCAACTAATCGCATAATATGTAGTTCTCTGTTCTTGTATCTCCTGTCCTGAAGCACCTTCTTTATGGCAACATCATCCCCAGTTTCAAGGCAATTTGCCTATTATATATATATAAGATATAAGAAGACGAAGAATAAGTCTAAAGTCTGATTTCAAAAAAAAAAGTCTAAAGTCTATGTACACATCTGTCCCATTCTAAAAACTCAACTTTGTAGAAGGAACAATCCAAAGACTTGTATGTCAATATATTACTCTGTATTTTATATTTTTTCAATGTGAGATGACTTAACCTGAAAGACAACTCCGAATGAACCACTCCCAACCACACGCTCTGCCATGTAAGACAACGTCTGGAACAAAAAGAACACATTATATCAATTTTAATCTATGTGAAGAAAATGTTTACATCATGCATTGTCTTAATTCAAGGAAAGAGTAATCAATGAGGAAGATGTAAATAACTCCCTAAAATGTCCCACCTGCTTATGTTGTCCATTTTGACCACCCACAGTGGTTACAATTATCTGACCTATTTCGGTTCCGCTGCCACTGACCACGGTAGGCTCCATATCCTGGCATGGAAAATGGAATATTAAAACTATTGAGTGAAATTGCAATGCCACCCTTCAATTTAGCGATAGGAACTATCTTAAACCTTTGAGTTGGACTTTTGATGATCAAACTTGTCATCTCTAATTTTCACTTCATGCATTTCCTTCAAAAGCCCATCACAGCAGGAATTCTCACATCCCTTCACATTGGACGCAACTATAGTAGTTCCTTGAGATGCATCCTGCTCTGATTCAGGCTCACCAAACACCATACCATCAACCTTCACCCTCTTAATAGTGGAATCCCCTACCTAAGAAAATTCAATAAAGTCAAAAATTAAAATTAGTTTTAAATAATCAGCCTAAAGTATGAAACTCAACTTTAAAAAAACCTAGATACTAAGTTAAGGCAACCCATATGTTATGTGGTGGTGATATATATGTGAATTCTCTACTTGAGATACTTACACGAACATGAAGTCCTACTGTCCCGAATTACTATCCTGAACTACATACTGTCCCAAATTACTTTCTCAACTTATGGAAACCCATGGGTTGTTTTCAAAATTACGTAGTATTACTTACTAATTGAGAGAATCAATATGTAGTTCAGACTATATCTGTTGAATTTAAATAAAATCTCAAATACATCATTCTTGTTTTCATAAATATCATGTCTGCTCAAAGTATTATGGGGTGAGTATTTAACACCCACGGTACTCCAATCAAGTATGATGCACATAGCAAAATTCTGGGGAAAAATCAAAGTACATAGTAATAAAGAAAAGAAGCCAAAAGCCCAATGATACAAGAAATATCTCAAGGAGAAGCTGGCCAAAAGCGGCCAAGATTCAATCTTTCCCGCTAAAAAACAGAAAATTATACTATGAACAGTCAAAATTACTGCTTAAAACTCACAACTATACAGTTCTCAAACGAGCATACACATTCAAATCTTTTAAACCTTAACAACTTGTAAATAAAGTGCCCATCTTTTTAATTCTGGGCGATACCTTGGTAAATTCTTCAGACCTCGTAAATCAAAAAGAGGATTGGGCATAAAAAAGCAAAATAGCCCATACAAACTAGTTCAAACAGAAATCCCAGATCCCAATTCCCAGGAAGAAGAAGAAAGAATCATTTTTTTCTATTCCGATTAAAATTTAGGAACAAATGTATAAATGCTGAAAACTTAGAGATAACATAGCGAGAGAGATTACAGGATCAGAAACGGAAGAGCGGCCGGAAGCAATGCTCTTGAGGCGACGCATCATATTCATTTGCCGATTTCAAGCAGCGGATACCCGAAATCTTCCTTCCGTCTCCCCCACACCTTCCTTGAAGAAAGATAAGGAAATGGAGAGAGAGATGATGTAAAATGATGACTTCTCTCCCTCTTGCTTATACTCTGTCCCGTTCAATAATATACAGCGGAGAGAAGATAACTTTGCCAGGTGAAAACGTAATTAAATTCATTCAAAAAATGGCAGGTAACGTCCCTCCTCTTAGCTTTTTTAACCTTTCTCTTTACTGCTGTAGTTTTTTCATTTTTGTTTTCTTGTTCCCTCCCTGTCTCCTCCGCTCAAAAAGTCATACACGCAAGATAATGGATAATGCTTTCTTAATAGATTTACAATCAAAAGTGGATTGGTAAATATGGTAACATATATTCTGTTGAATTGAGTGTGAGGATATCGGGCTGATTTTGTGCCAAACGACCAAAATGAGCTTGCCATGGTGAGAATTAATGGAGAAAACAATGTGGGCGTGTTTGGCATTATAGGTTAGTGGATACCGGATAGTGAGTTATGTTAGACGGGGTTGTCAATAGCGAATTCAATCCGCGGGTTTGACTAGCGACAGGGGTGGAGCCAGAAAAATGCGTGAGGGGGGTCAGAATTTATAAAATTATACGAAGTATACTGTATCAAAATGATGGATAGTTTTTATACAATACTTTAGTTAAATGTTTCATATGTAGCTGAGATAAATGGTAGTTTAATGACCATTTTTCGGTTAATGTATTGATATATGTGTAATGTATCATAATGTTCACACAACTAATGACTGAATAATGTGTTTTATTTTTAAATTTAAGAATATAATCAACGTCACACATCAAATTTTGCTTATTTCAAGTTAAAATAGTGCTGATTTTTCTAGAAGTCATAACTTTTTACTCGTAATGAGTTACGAGACCCATAATATATCAAATCGAAAGTATTTCAGAGCTCTACATTCTTGAACTTTCAGCGGGGTCAGCTGACCACCTTGACCCCCTGGCTCCGCCCCTGACTAGCGGAATAAATTGGTGGATTGTACGAAGAGGTTTGTTAATTTAGTTGTTTGGCCATATTATTAGTAGAAAATGTCATTTTTCAAAACGTCAACCCAAAACTCCTCTATTAGTAGCGTTTTTCATTTTAACGTTTTCGTCCAAAAACGCTAGTGTCGAACAACCGTTTACCAAACAACTTTTTCACTTTTTGAAAACGCTAAAAGTAGTCAAACCGTCATTTTTGAACTGAAACGCCGATTACCAAACACCCCATAATTTGCACAACTTATATTGACAACTTATGTATTTTCATACGGATTATCTATATACAGATAACTTCTATTTTTACTTCTATTTTTACAAACGAAGTATTTATATACAAATAATTATGTCTGTGTTGACAAACAAGATGTGCCAATGATGTAGAGAAAGGTACGCCTAACATTTTTTGGTTCGATTTTAATTGTTTTGATCTCAAAAAGCAAATAATCTTTGATTGAAGAAGAGTAACTTTAGTTAGATTTGATTTGAGTATCTTCTATCATTTGGCGAAAAACGAACACAATATAAGCGGTTTAGATATGATCACTTAAATTTCGATTCACTTGTCAATCAATTTTAATTTATATATTTTTCTTCATCCCCATGAGAATTTTTGTCCAGCTGCAAATGTATTTGGGCAATATTAACTAACTTCACAATTCTAATATTAGATCCCTTTTTTCGTTTTTTTGTAAATACAATTTCATCTTTGTAGAACTTGTTTGTAATTCATTTTTTTCAATCGCTATTTCTAGCTTCCACAATTTCCTAGTCCGCTGTTCTATATTGCTTTATTACTCCTATAAAATAAAATAAAAACCGTACATAACACATATGACTACCGTTTCTATTACAAAACGCTTTGATTTCAATATAAGTCCCCCTCTTAAAAAAAAACTTTCATTACAAAACTTCTAATTATGAATCCGCAATTTCATCTCATTTTACAAATTGTCTTTCATTTTTAAATGATGCCGTCAGCCCTTCTAATCATATTGGCTTTTATTTGTTTCAAATTTCAAAGGGTTAAGCTTGCTCAAACGGCTAGACCAGAGTAGTCTTAGGTTGGAGCAGTCTTAAGTTACATTGTAAGTTTCTCACAGCAAATTTGAGTAAGGATAGAGTATGTGATAAAGACCCGTGTTGATTTGTAAATACATGTGTTGATTTGTGAAGATCGTATTGTGTGAGTATGGAGTATGACTAAGAGTATAATTATTACTTAGAAGTCTCGTTGAGTTACATTTTTATCCTATTATACGTAGTGTATATTGGATATATATGCACCCTAAGATTTACCGATACCCTATAATTTTTAAAGTGAGATAGATCATAGATTCAACTCCAATCAAAAACTTGGTATGGAACCCACTTTTAATCGTGTCGTGACCATACTAGCTAGCACCGGTCTATATCGGCATCCTATAATTTTAAAAGATATGATCTCCTATAGTAATTTAGAAAAAAATTGTTAGTAGTCACTCTTATATATACTCAACTTTCTACAAAACCTAATCTTTTACGGAGAACAAAATAGCTTTTTTACATTAGTGGTTATAAGGGTGAGTTCTAGTAGCAACCCTGGATTAAGTTCACATTTATGATTGCATATTTGAGTTGATATAACTAGCATTTACTTTTTACTATCGGGCTTCCCACGATTATAGAAACTTTGAATCGTCAATCACGTCCCTATTCCTCTCATTGCCACTTCAACAGAGTACGAAGTTGAAAACTTTTCAAATGCAGTCTATAGTTTTAGTCTTCACTCGACTATATAAAAAGTACAATTAACAACTTCAGTTTGTGTGCTTTTATATCCATTTACCGTTCATATACAACCGTGCACTCCTCTATGGACAAAAGTGGAAGTCCAAGGGCTATAAATGGCATGCATTTAATTTATGTCTATCTTTATGCTTATGTTACTCTGTATCGTTTTCTTTTCCGATATATTGATTTCACACTCAGATCATCATCAAAATCAAACTGCATGCTCTCTAATTTGTTTCAAAGTTAACTATCATTGGTAAAAAAATGTTGAATTTCCCAAAAACTTGTGAATGAATTAAGTGCTATATAAGATCTGGATTACTCTTGATATGAGATGTAATCCAAATCTTAATATAGCACTTAATTAATTCACAAGTTTCTAGCATAAGAATTCAACAAAAATCAATTTGATCAAATTTGGTGGGACTACGTACAAATTATACGTACTTGCATACATCATACATAAATGCATACATACAATACGAAGTATACAACACACACAAATACACACTTATATAGACAAAAAATCACTAGCATATCAAAGTCATAGAATTAGTAGTATGGCTGGACATCCTGGAATAGAGCTTGAAAGTTATAGCAAATGAACATGTGAGACATACATTCAAATTAGAATAGGTCGTTGGGGGATTTGTTAAGGATGACACCGTCGCATTTGACTTGGAATCACTTCATGGCATCACCCTTAGTTACACCGGGGCGTGTTGGATTCCCATCCTAATCATCAATTCAAAAGGTGGAATCCTCCACCCCAGACGACCCACATCTCGACGACCCACATCTCGATCCGACATAATGATATTTACAATTTCAGAGGATATCTGATGTAGAATTTGAAAAAAAGAAATTAAATGATTCTAAAATATATGTGGGATATTTATTTAGGGGCAGAATCGCACCCCATTCTAATCTTACCCCTACGGCGGTGTGCCACTGCCACTCACTAACCAAGGCCTTCCAAAATATATACTCCTGTAATATATTGCATGTCATAATAGTTTATGGTAAAGAGTTCTCCTTAACAAGGATGTTTTCTTTTGAACTGTTTTCAGTCCCAGACCAGACTTAAACAGACCAGACCAGACTTCCGTAGTTATAAAATACACAGAGACCAGACGTTTACCAGACCAATTCAGACTTAAACAGACCAGACCAGCAAATTTCAATCCAAAAGAAAACATCCTAAATTAAATATTATCAAGTAAAACATTATGATCATACTACCTCCGTCCCAAAATTAACTTCTCGTTCGGTTTACGATGCTTGACTGACGATAAAGTAACTTGATCCCTGTTCACACTCGGATTATTTTTAGTAAATAAAATTTACATATTCAGAAACTACATTAAAACCGCTACAAAGCCTGATCAAGAAAATTTAAGTTTGATAAAAATTTGATATATAAAGTAAAAGATTAGGAGTGATTCAAGTTGACCAATGAATAGTAAATGTGAAGTTGTTTTTGGGACGGAGGGAGTATATAATTAATAGTTACACTTTAGCATTGTTATTTTATAAAAACAAATCTATTAAGTTATGTGAATCTTTTCCTAGATGGGTCTGCCCGACCCGATTCTGATTCATTGGACCCCAATTGGAAAACTTGTTCTAGACCCACTCAATAAAGGCTCAGGGTCTTGGTTTATAATATAAAATCAACTAACCGTGCCATGTATAAAATAGTACTCCCTCCGTCCCCTTTTCAATGTCCCGGAAGAGGGTGACACGAGTTTTAAGAAAAATGAGTTTGTGTGGTTGATATTAATTGATAAAGTAAGAATAAAGTAAGAATGATTTTGATTTACACAAACTTTACCAAATAAGGTATGAGACAATTAAATAGGGACATCCCAATATGGCAATATGGTAAAACGGGACATTTAAAAGGGGACGGAGGGAGTATATATTTTCACGAGATATTTTGTTTGAAGTTTAAAGTCGCAAATTATACCGTGGGATCGGCCTACCATGCCCATGGTGTGCAGATCCCAAAACGACATAGTTTGGTTAATTAAAAAGCATAGCAATTAGCAACTCGGCTGGAGAAGGAAAGAGTTCCAATCGCACGATCGCCGTCGCTGACAACTTTCTTTGACGGATTGAGATTCACACCAGCGACCCCTGTTCGTAGCATGCGTGCTCTTGTGCATCACCGACATAGAAGACTGGCTCCTTAGCTTTGTGTCGCCAAGAGGAAGAAAATCCCACCAATTAGCAATTAAATTCATACATATACAAGGAGTATTTGAAGAGAAGCAAAGCAAAGAGGAAGAAAAAACAGGACATAGGCTTAACCATGTATT